ACTTTAGGTCATTTTTTATTAGCCAAGAAACGTTCCGAGCGCCTGTGCCGATAAAGCCTCCTACTCCTAGAAAATGGGCTCCTCCACATTCACAGCTACATGTACAACGTCGCGGCTAACTATTATTACTTTAGTGATTTTGAACTAGCCGATCATGGTGTAATGTGGCTTAACTTGTGTCGTGGATCATGATGGTGAAAGTACATCGAAGTCTAATATAAATATGTGCATTTCTGACACACAAAACGGAAAACACTCACCATAGTTTCCAAAAACACTTACTACGCCATATAAAAACAGCCAAGAAACTATCGCACGTTGTACCACACACTGTAATAATGGCTACTGATTACATCAGCTTTATCCAAAAGACGTATGAGAAAGATAGTTTGATTGGGTAGTTCTTGACAAACCTGTTCAACTACAGAATTCATATCCAATCAAAAATGGGTTAACGAAAAACTTTTCCAATAACACGAAGGGTCGTTACCGTCTTAATATTAATGTGGTATACACTCATTTATCTACAAAAAATTGAATTCATGTTGGGTTTATTCATTTAAAAAGGTTATCTATATTATTTTATTCACTACACTGTCATTTGCGATAACAATTTTTCTTTATTTTTCATATATTGTATGATGTCAACCGCCCCTCGTAGGCAGAGTGTCACATCAAAAATAGAATAGTCCATAAAAGGGAGGTCATAGTTCAATCAGCTGGTTGCGGAAACGGCAAACGACGGACACGTCGAAGTTTCTTTACAGGACCAACATACTGTACGTAAAATTATAAAATCTTCTGTGAGAATCGCATTTCCGACGACATGCCTTCTAAAGAACAGTCTCTGAAGGAAAGACTGGATGGAAATGAGTTGGATTTGAGTATGAGCGGACTTCTCAAAGTCCCCGTCAAAGAATTGGTGAGTCAACTTTAATTCAAAATAATTATCAAAATTGTCGCAATCAAATAACAACTTGACGCGACTAATTAAAAAATGGAGTGGTTGCCCGGAATTCGTTGTTTTTGTTTTGTTTGTGTCTAATTTAATTGTTACTGAAATGTAAGTAAATATCTTGGTTGACTTGGACGCCCAACCAAAGGTCGTGCAAGGGTTATTTGATGTTACACTCATGTTGTGAAATCTGACGGTGAGATAACTAAATGTACTTCAGTATGTACTAGACAGTTATCTGATGTGCTCATAGTACACAATAATTCTCACTGTCGTTTCTTGTAAATACATAAAATGCATTGATCTCTCGAATGTAATTTGGAAAGTATTAAGCCTTGTCAATAATAATTTGATTAACTCGCATTTTAGATTAGCTAACTGGATGCTTCTACCTGTTAATATTTACAAATGTAGATTCACAGTCAAACAAGAGGTTGGAGTGTGTGTTTTTTGTTTTGTTTTTTTTTTGCACTTCCCTCAATGCACAAGACAGATTGCTGATTAGATGATACTAGAATCAAAATTGTATTCATCCCACCAGTGACGTGTGATCAGTCACAGTTGCTATGATTTGACAATGATTGAACTGCTATTTTAAGTTTACAAATGTTATTTTATGAAATGCTGAATTGTACAAGTTATGGATATTGTGTTACGAAAATTATAGTTAGATATCACATACACTTTTGAAAAACCACACCCAAATTGTAACTCGATGTTCAATCAACAAAACTTTGAGTTCCGTGCAATATATATTTTTGTTTTAATCAAACATCAACGTTTAGTAACTCAAACTTTAATAAACAGTTAACCAAACTTTGAGTTATGAGCAAGACTTGTTTACTTTAAAATACTTTATTTTTGATTGGAATTGATTTTCGCTATTTTCGCTAAAGGGATGATTCATTGAAAAAACAAAAGTACAGTGAATGTACGTTTTTTTCCTATATTTTACATTCAACTCGTCAAAAATCAGTGAAAATAAATTCCATACTAAACAGCCAAAAAGTCTTTTCAGCAAAAATTAATTTCAGCAGTATTTTACAGTATTCAATTCAGCATCCCTTGTTTTAATAACTTTAGCCATATACATGGATAATCCAAAATGAAAGTGGAGAGACTGATTAAACACCAAAAGTTCTATTGTTGTATTTCAAAACTTAAAAAGCCCTTTCAATTTTGAGTCACTTGACCAAAAAAATCAAAAATTACAAACTGAGTTATACTGATCTAAATTTGACCAGATGATGTGATCACAAAATCCCCAAACTAACATGGATTTTAGAATATTAATACAAATGAGTCAAGTCTGTGAGTGTGCATAGAAATACCGTTAAGTTTGATTGAACTTTAGATCATTGTCTTGGTACAACACACTATAAAGCTTAGGTCTGAAGCAGCTATAAAATAGAGATACATGTATATAGTTTCTTATATTTCATAACCATCTCAATAATAATTGTTCTGCGTACTTGTCTTTTAAACATTTGATCACAGTTGGCTGATGTGTGTATTATGTACTACATATCAGAAGGAGAAAGATGTGAAACCAGGCTTAGAAAACATTGTGATTACATAAAATTGTATCATATTTATATTATGCGAAGCTTTTATTGATATACAATGGTAGCAATGCATGTGAGACTCTTCTAAAAATGCAAGACATTCGCACATTGGCCATTTTTGTTGATTTGAGCATAAACCTTAAAAATAGGTCTACGACAATAGAACAGAAAGTAAGTCATTGACACCTAGTAGTAGTGAATTTGCATAAGAGATTACAAGTAATATGACATCAAAAGAATTGCCTCAGTTTATTATCCCTCTGCTATGGAGTCTATGGTTTCCTGACAGTCAATTGTTGAAGTTCTTTTATTGCATAAAAAGTAGAGTGCCATGCTGGAGGACATGCTATATATGTAAATATACACATGCACTCCACCTCCCTTCTCTACTTCATGACAATTTTTTGCTTAAAATTAAGAACAACTAATAAAAATATGTAGTAAATGTCAATAACTTGTTGATATTCTGTAAAATGACTAATTTTCACTGGGTTTAAATTTCACTGATTTATCATTTCAGGAATATTCAGTGGGTTTTAAATTCACCGTTTTATCATTTTAGATAATGTGTTCTATGCTAAATTTTACATATTCACTGGGTTTTAATTTAGCATATTTTTCAGTCAGCGAAATAAGCAAAATTAAAACCCAGTGAATAATTAACCCTTGTAATTAATTAACCCTTGTAATAATTAACCTTGACCATGAATTCTGTAGGATTTTATTGTCAATGTGGTTTAATAGTTGAATATAGTGCCCTCAACTGTCAACACTTGACAAAGAACAATTAATTTAATGCTTTTTACACTGCTTGTATTGTAATCATCATAGTTGCATCCTGAGCTCATTCCTGAAGTTGTTAAAGGCCCAGGTATACTATAAATACACTCCTAAAACAATAGGGATTATTTCCCTGCTTGTCACACTGTAGTAAACAGCTCTAGCCAAGCTCCGATAAAAACGCGTTTTCTCGAACTTACAGGCCAATTATGTCGTGCCAAAGTGGATGCATGTGACTATGAATATCATAGCAGTGACTGTGTGTAGTATTTATGACAATAAATAGTGTACGAGTTGAGATTTTGGCGGATAAAAGTCAAAAACACGAACCGGGGAAGGGGACGCGCTACTAATCTTGACTAATTAACTACTACCAATCAAAATCACATGATGTTGGGCCGCTGAAACGGGATTCTCTTAATTATTGCGGCCTTGATTAGTTTTGAATCCTCAATATTTCCAGCATTTCTCCCATATTCTTACCATTAAGTGATTAATTTTACACATAATAGTACCAAGACTCCAATAAAGCTGTAGAAATGATCTCAGAGTGCAGTTTTAATATTAAATAGTGCATGTAAATTTTCAGGCATCCATAAGCCATGCCCGATATTTCAAGTAGATGAAATCTATAAATCCTCTACTGCTCAATACACATCAAGTTCTAAGCATCTTTTATCATATGATGCTATTAAAATAATCAGAAGAAAACCATGCATAGAAGGAAATAGACTTTGTAAAAACTGCAAAGAAAAAGTAGTTGACAATGAAAATCATTATTTAAAGAATGTGATATCAAATCAAAACAAAACAGGAAGAGAGAAGACTGAACAACTTTATAAAGATATGCAATTGTAATACTACATTGGCCATTTATTTAACAAATACAATATACAGAATTATATAAATTAGAAACAAGGGGGTTACATTTCTGTAATAGTAATTTTCCTTTTAATGGTGACGCAAAATGCATTGTTTGTTTTTGTCTGTGTAACATATTTATATTTTATTTTTACTATACGTTCATCTAAGGTGTCACTTGTGGAGTGATAAAGTTATTATAATTCAGTTTCATTTTCCTGACTAAGGTTGTGATTAATTAATTAATTAACTTTTAAGTGGTGAAGTCAATGTACATTGGGCTGACAAGCTGAGGTTTAATACCATTTGCATTTTTGTTCTATTAAAAGCACATCTGTAATTGAAATGCCTATGAACCAACACATTGCATTTTATTGTATGCTGATCTATTAAAATATGATATAGGCGACATAAAAATTATAATAATCCACAGCACATGTCACTGGGGATTTTCTGAATTACTTGTTTTGTCACATTTTTGTAATACCTTGTAACATTTGAATATTTATTTGCAGGCTGCACTCCCAAAAGCGACCAGATTAGATTTATCCTGTAATCAGCTCACCTATTTGCCTGTAAGTACCTGTCAATATTTATACAATACACAATATGATTTTAGCTATTTTGAATAGTTACTTACGATCGCTGAATGTCAAAAAACAGTATATGCTCAGTTTTTCAATTTTTCCTTCTACCAAAATGTTAGGTTCTGGATGAAGATTTATTTTATGGCTTTTAACTATGACTGACTATCATGATCTTGCATATTGTGCTCAAGATGCAAACCAAACATCTGCCACAAAAATCCAATGATTTGATTTTAAACTTGAATTTCTTTTTCTGTAGCTCAATGTCTAATTGCCAATCTTTCAGAGGGTAATTATCAAATGCCTATAGCACATTATTACCATAAGCATGGAATTACTTCTTAAAATTCTTTAATGTTTGTTGAATCCCACATTTTAATGCTACTGCAACACACTGAATTTCACACGTAACGCAGGATGTCACAGTGAACACAAAATTGTCTATTACAACTGTGAACTAGAATAATGTCTGAATTTATGCAAAAACCATTTTTAATTTTAGTGAAGAAATTTTGGCAGCCGCTGTCGTGATCTAGCCATATTTATATATATAATATATCCATGAATTTTTTTATTTATGTGCTCTTCAGTTGTGAATGTGCTTCTAATAGGCTGACACTTCTTCTTTGACTTCTAAATTTGGATGTTTAAAATTTGACTGATTGTCATATCCTTCATCTGACTGGGCTTTTGCTAACCCTTCACCAGTCGCCAATCGTGAACTATGTTATGAAATTTAATTACAACAAATGATTGTAAAGACCACATGATTACAACTGTGAAAAGTGACAGCATGTAAGGCACCAGTTTAGTCAAATTAACCTGTATATAAAGACCACCTATCTAATGTGACCAGTGACAGCATGTTTGGTCAAATCAACCTGTATATAAAGAACACCTGTCTAATGTGAACACTGACAGCATGTTTGGCACCAGTTTGATCAAATCAACCTGTATATAAAGACCACCTGTCTAATGTGAACAGTGACAGCATGTTAGGCACCAGTTTGATCAAATCAACCTGTATATAAAGACCACCTCTCTAATGTGAACAGTGACAGCATGTTAGGCACCAGTTTGGTCAAATCAACCTGTATATAAAGACCACCTGTCTAATGTGAACAGTGACAGCATGTTAGGCACCAGTTTGATCAAATCAACCTGTATATAAAGACCACCTGTCTAATGTGAACACTGACAGCATGTTTGGCACCAGTTTGATCAAATCAACCTGTATATAAAGACCACCTGTCTAATGTGAACAGTGACAGCATGTTAGGCACCAGTTTGATCAAATCAACCTGTATATAAAGACCACCTCTCTAATGTGACCAGTTATCTCCACCTTTAGTACTGGTTATAAAACCAAAATGATCGCAGGATTAGTGTTTTAAACTTGTCTCCACACTGACATTTTAATTTAAACAAGACAAGCAAGTGTATAGTTATTTATTGTTCAAATATCTATTGACTAATTGTTGGAAATTCTTATCATATAATTTTTGCTCACAAAATAATTAAATAACTTCTGTATAAACACTACCTGTCCATGAAGGATATTTAGCATATTGTATTTACTTACATGAATATAAAAATTATCTCACCTTGATCTTATCTGTCTAAACAGGCTGGTAATCAGTGAATAAAAACAATACTGTGCCCGGTCTTGTGTCCTGTATTATTTTGGACAATAAACAAAATATCTATCCTGTAATCACTTTCATTGTAATTTCCCTTTCATTTTCAGGATGCATTTGGTACATTAACACACCTTGTGAAAATAGATTTAAGTAAGAATGCTGTATCTGATCTACCACCCAGTATAGGAGGTCTGGTTAAATTACAGTATCTGGATCTTCTTGGAAATCAGTTGCAATCCCTTCCAGTTAGCTTTGCCAATTTAAGGAGTTTAAAATGGCTTGATTTAAAGAGCAATCCATTGAGTATAGAGCTACAGAAAGTTGCTGGAGATTGCTTAGATGACAGGCAATGCAAAGAATGTGCTAAACAGGTAAGGGAAGATTACCCAGTGTCAGTTATTATTATACTTTATTTCAGACTCAGACATCGGAAACAGCATTATTTATAAAGAAGGCGTCTATAATTACGCCAAAAACTTGACCTTAGAAATAAGTCACTGTTTATACAATTATCAATTATACTATTTTCACTCTGAAACAATCGCTGTTTAAAATTGTATAAAGATTTTCTATGAAGTGTTGAAAAATTGAAAATATTTCTTCTGACATAATTACCGCTTGCACTGCTCGACCTCTCTAATTTAAAAACCAACCGAAGTACACCAACACCGAAGTGTTGTATGCTTTATGCAGAGCATGCAACTGCTTGTCAGTGTAATTCCTCCATACATTTAAGCAATAGTTACTATATAAAAATGAGCAAAAAAAAAAGAGTACATTTCACATGTTCCGAGCACTTCCCAAAATTCCTCAAAATAAGATTTGACCTGAGAATATACATTATTCATTAGCTCTGGCTACCATCTGTTTTACTTATTCATGAATTCTACACATGCTTACAGAGATGCATGTATATGAACATTACATTGACTAACAAAGTCATCATAGAGGGCATACTATTGTGTATGTCTGTATTAAAAATCTTCTGTACTACCGCCTTGATTTTACAGGTGACAAGTTATATGAGGGCAGTGCAATCAGAACTTGAAAGACAAAAACAGAAACGATTGAATGAAGAAAAGGGTCAGTATAGCTTGGATACGAGTAAATTAATTGTTAGATATTTATTGGTGTTTTAGTCAAAAGTCTGCTCTAAACTAGTCAATAGTTACTTGTGTTACAGTTTCTATGTTTTTCATATACAAAAAAAAAAGGCATAAAAGTGGTATGGCTCTAGAAGTCATTGTATCATTGCTTGCACGGAAAGATTGAAATAAAACGACTTGCATGTAATTTCCCCGTAGCAAGAGAAGCTGCAAAGGCAGCTGAACAAGATAGACAGCGAGAAATGAAAAAGAAACAGAAACAAGCAGAGAAGGAAAGAAAAAGAAGAGAATATGAAGCCAAACAAGCTGCCAAAAGACAAGAGCAATTGTTATTAGCTGAGCAGGAGAGGATAGTCAAGGAAGGTCTGTATAAAGTCGGGCATTCCAAACTCTCTGGAATGTTGCATCTTTCCCATTTTCTAACAATAAATTCTCAGTTGTGTGATTATTATGTGTAAAGCTCAAAGTGTCAGTCATTGTGCCACATTATGTTCAATATGAGGTCTCATGCCACATGTATAATATATACAAAAAAACATTGATAACTATCAATTTGGCAGAAAGTTCCCAGAATTCCCATTCCCAGAATGGATTTTATGGAGAAAATTAGTAGCAAGTTAAACAAAATACAAAGCAATGAGAATGGGGCATGCAAGGCAGAAAAATCTAATGAGGTTATTATGAGGATACCTCAAAGTATGCACAAAGACACTGTAGCGGGAGTATCGACTGATATGCGGCGGAGGTCAATGTGAGGGCATACTGTCTGAGTGCATACTTTGAGGTATCCTCGTAATAACCTTATTATACATCTTTTCCTTCAAAGGATACATCATGGGAATGCCGAAATCCAAAATGTTTAGAACAGAATCAGCAAACTTCTTTGTGTGGAGTCTGGTCAAACCCTGGTGGCAGCCATGTTTGTTTTTAGTATTAGAGGATGCTTACACGCTTAATCATTCCATATTTGGAATTCTCATTTCCTTATATTTATTATTATTATTATTTTATTTCCATTTCTCTAAAGAAATATACCCCACTAACCTGGGAGAACAGGTTACAATGCGAAAGTTACAGGCGTGACTTTAATCGCCTCAATAATATAAAGTATTATATATATATACACATACACACACATATACAACTCATCTATTGGAGAACTCACACTAACAAATGATATCTAATCTGAAAAGCTGTGTATACAACTCCTGCAATACTTTGGATGATTTCATGGTTATCCTGAGAAAAAATATATGTAAGTTTACGGATAGGCGAAAGGAACTCGAATTGTGGTTCAATGCGGTTATTTCGATCAAAAAGCGGTTTTCCAATATGGTTATATGCTGGACAAACTACCAGAAAATGAGTTTCATCTTCAACAGCATCTATACATATTTGGCAGGTTCTATTTTCCACTGGAGTTCCATAATATCTACCGGTCTCAATGTGTAACTTATGATTAGAGCACCGGAGTTTAGTTAAAGCTTGTCTGTACAGGGGAACACGAACGATATCCAAATAATTCTCGTAAAAAATATTTGTTTTAAATTGGCGAAATGTTCGTAACTTTTACTGTTTGGGGATCTACGAACATTGTCAAATAAAGCATCTTTCCAACTTTTGAAATAAAAATCTCTCTTTCTTTCCAAATAACAACATTGTTTCATCGGTAATTTGGGAGATAAACCTATTCTCCCAAACAGTATGCATATTGTGTTTAATTAATAATTTCTTAATAGCTAAAGCAAAACATGGTTTTCCTATCTGTGCCATTTTTTCAGACTATCTATAGGCTTTGTAAACGAGTCGATTAGATGACATTTTCAGAATACGTTTCCAATATTTAATACGGATTAGATTTCTGCCAATACTAAGTGGATATCGTCCGAGTTCACCTATAACTGCACTTATATGGTAGGATGAAAATACCCCATAAAATACCGCCAGATTACGGCACGCTGTAACTTATGCCGTTACGGTGACAGATGTATAATAATAAGAGTAATGAAAAAGTTGGGAGGTGAAAACACTTGTTCAATGAAACAAATGACTGAGCATGTATGGAAAATATACACAGTAATTACATCATGAATGCCGGACATTATTGAAACAACATGAAAATCATGACAACACTTACATTGTAATGAATGTCTTTTTCTTTCATTATCCACAGAAATTAAAAAGCAAAATAGTTCACAACCTGTGAAATCAAAGCCAGACTCTTCAGGTATGTACCAAATTCAGTCTGCACTGGTGATACAGTTTTAGGTTTGATTTTCTATTCTAAGTCGGACCTTCATGGGGCATCACAACCAGAATTTACAAAACAACTTCCAGCATAATGAAAATGAACAGAATGATTTTTTACCTCTGCTGCTTACTTAGCTGATCGACCAAAGCTGTTCATATTACTGTCTATCATTGTCAACTTTACATTTTGACACTTTATACTTGGTATATATGTACTTTGATACTTCGTATATATGTACCTTGGGTGGAACTTTCAGATCTGTTTATTTCATGAAGATATCTTCAAGTCTTCATATTTTTGACTTCTTTAAAATGGCTAGCCCCATTGCTATCGATCAAAGTTGCTAATTTCAGATCATAAAATATTGAGTGCCCTCCACATGGTCACATTTTGCTCATCTGGGTGTTACACATTACATTAAAGCAAATACAGTACCAAAAAAAGCTGGCGATCTAATCAGAAATTTGTATTGGGCAATTACCTTAACCCAGTGGTTCATTTGTCAACAAATACTTGTGGCATTATGACATTGAATTATTTTGATTTTTTTTTTAGTGACGCCATTGTCTGTGATGTTCTTGTTTACTATAGTGGTTGCTATAGGATCCATCATCTTTGGTGTTTGTTTCTACTGTCAGAACCATGGTAACAACCCAGCTTGCCAAGATATTTTTCATCGAATTCAACAAGTTACAGGAACAATTCGTAGTTTATTCCAATAACGTAATTCAAGATTGTCTGACCTCAGCTGTCCCCACCAGTCTTACATTCTGTTCTTTCTATGACAGCACTATCACAGGGATGGGGTGGCAACAAATCATGAAAATAAAAATCTGCATGCCCTTAGGAGGGTGGATGTCGCTCAGTGGAAAAAAATTACAGCAAATACATCAGGGAAAATAAAAATTAGCATGAACAAATTTATATTTTGCAGTTTTTCTGGCATCATCCCAGAGTTTCTAATGATCCTTCCTTAATTGTTGTACATATATCGTATGTTGACAAATCTTTTTAGCTAAAGTGCCTTGAATGGGGACCCTTTTTGGAGTCCGATTGTTTAAAACGGTTTCAGCATTCATTATCAAAATAAATCTATTGCAGAAAATAATTTTTAGAAAACATGCTGAGCGGTAAGCCTCAAAGACTGCTGATAATCCCTACTAATTCCTTCTATCAAAATTTCGACACTGAACTTGGAATTCAGTTTAGGTTTCACTGTAGAATTAGTAATGCCTAAAAGACCCTCACAAAAATGGAAAAGGTTTTTTGTTATTTTTTTTAATTTCAATATAAATAAAGAGATACTAACTACATTTTACAAAATATAATAGCTTCTCTGATGTTAAATATATCCTATTTTTACTGCTTATAGGCATACATTGTTGCCACGACTGATCCAGACAATATTTCTTGTGTAATCTAAATATTTTTATTCTATATACAATTTACTGGACAAAGTTACTCAGAAACCATATTAAGACGATTCCAGTAACTTTTAAGCATTTTATGTTGTAAATGAAATTTTCTCTTTTATTCCTTCAAATAAAAACTTACGGTGAAATTATGGAGGTAAAAATGTTGCATCATTTTGTTTGAACGCAGTTTGAAAACTGGAACTTATGGATTGACTTCTGTCCATGGGGACCTATATCTTGGACATGCCTGGACCAATTACATTAAATACTTCATACATACATCATTAAAGATGGCCTAATGACTGACATTTTTGTACTGAAATCAAGCATTTCTGCATTACGGAACCGGAACCCAGTCTTTTATAGATGGATTTTGTTCCAATTTAGTACATAGATTAGACATCAAAATGACTGGTGGCCATTTTATTTTAATGAATGTGGTTCTAAGCCATATCTCTGACATGCTTTGGCTGATTATATTATATTTATTTTAAAATACACCATGTCATAGATATACAGATGTATTAAAATACACCATGTCATAGATATACAGATGTATTAAAATGGACATGTTTTAATTATTGCTGTTCCAGAGCAATATCTCAATATGGACAAGTACCGTAAAATCTGTATTAGAAGCCGCATCCCTAATAGAAGTCGCACCCATTCTTTTTGAATAATTGAGAACCAAAAATTCGTCATTTCTCATATGTGTAGATGCTCTAATAGAAGCCGCATCCCCTCTGTTGCATTGTACCATTTTAATAGAAGCCGCGGTTTCTAATACAGATTTTACAGTACTACTTTGATGATCAGATACAAAATGACTGAATGTCAACCATTTTAATGTTAATCAAGCATCAGCTTCTGGATCCATATCTCTGACATGTTTATGTTCCATGTTTATATTACTATAAACAAAACTATACATCTTAAATTTGATAACTGATGAGCGTGCCATGCATGGCTTGTTTTTTGTCAAACTTGCTAAATTAGGCCTAGTACCGGTATGCATTTCAGAAGTAAGTAAGTAAAAAGTGATATTTTCGACTTGTAAAAAACCTCAAGTCCAATTACTTTGATATTGCATGTATAGGTACTACATGTGGACCTCTCTCAGATTTGTTCATTTTGTAACGATATCTTGAATTCTCTAATTTTGGTGAATATTTGTCATTTTTGATAAAAAGTGATATTTTCCAATATTGTTGAAAATCGCAAGTCTGATTGCTTTGATACTATAAATAATGTCCATTTTCTAAAGATATCTTCTGTTCTTAAATTGTAATGTGCATTGCTAACAGCGGAGCTATCTCAGCCGAGAGGCTGCTTGTTAACATCAAAATTATGTGAAATTGCGATATCAATACCTTGAAGTGTTGGTGATATAAAAGACATTCTATAAAACAAAGCACAAGTGAGAATTAGTTGATTACCAATGAATCATGTCGCACAGTCGCAAAACTTTAACTCTACATTGTGCAAACAATGAGTGAGGAACTATCAATTTTGTTATTATGTCAGTTATTTTTAATAAATAGTTTCATCTTGGCATATACGCTATATACCGACGCTGTACATTATATCACTTCCAAGTGAAAAAAGTTTGTGTCCAGTCTCGAGATGGAGCCATCTATTGAAATTCTGTTTTGTCAAGCAAATGTGGTACAACTTGGTGGGTGCCCTGGACTGTCAAATACATTGCCATCTTTAAAGGGTAGCCCTTTGCCGGCCTCTCACTGATCATTTTATTTGTCACTTCCCATAATAATGTGCGACAAGATTTCACGGTCCCCACCATGTGACCAGTTTCAGCTACAACACTTTTCACATCGTATGTTAAGTGATGTAGCCTTTTGTAAAATTGCACCTAAAACAATATTTTAGTATATGTGGTTATATTTAAACAAAAAATGTTTAAATGTTCACAGCTTTGATAGTGAGCAAGGTGTGTGATTGAATTGAGCATATTCGAGATGTTTCAATGTATCAGGTCATATGACTTGTCCAACAAACATGTTGATAGATTTCTTTATGTATATTCTATGCATTGATGTAGAGTCTGTAGTTTCCCCGGAATGAACATATGCAAGATACATGTACAACTTGCTGGGAACACTTCAATAATCTACTTACAAGATTGTGCCGAATTAACTACTCTGTCATAAGAGAAAGCAGCTTGTTTAGACGCATCAAATTTTGCCTTATATACAACTTTCAGTAGAATCATGGCAGCAAGGGACTGAAATCAAGTTTACATCCATTAGACAACAAACCAATGCATGTTCAAGTGTGAACAGTTATAAGAGTTATTCCCTGCAACTGGCCTACATGTATGAAAATCTCAAGAATAAACTCAAACTAGTATTTTTGTCAATATGCACCAGAATAGGACTTGACGCTATACGGAAGCCATTTAAGTTAGACTTTTGCTCAGCAAAATATCAAGAATTCAAGCTCTGTTTATATGAAGTAAACAATTCAGAGCTGTAATGAGGAATACTGTTCATACCCCTAGGCTATAAATATACATTTATGGCCAACTGGGGATACAATAATTATCCTACTCGTGTAACCCATTCTACCACAACTATTTCTGTGAACCCACTGTATTTATGGTAACTTCAAACCATTCACACTTGTATTGATATGCACAGAGTAATCGCTACAGATAACTGAACATGTAAACCACTATTGTAATTCTGCCCTTGGCTTCCACTGCAATGTCTGGAGCTGAGAAGTTTATGTAAACTATTGAATCAAAGAAAGCTTAGAAAGAACTCCCATGTGCTGAGAGTATTGGAGACACATTAAATATAATTCGAAATTACTTAGCTGAAAACTAATTATGCAAATCAGAAAATTAATATGACCAGATTTGAGTGTAAAACTAATGAGGTCTGCGCAATGTAACAGAAAATCTATGTTTCCAAGTTTAATTGAAATGTGATTAGAACCAAAACATGAATTATTATGCTTATTAGGGAATTAATATGAACAGATTTTTACCCCAAACTAATTAGGTTTGTACATTGTCCTAGAGCATCTTTGTACTAAGTTTCATTGAAATGGAATAATTAGTACTTTAGATATCAGTGTGAAAGCTTAAAATTGGTTAATTATGCAAATTAGGTAATTAATATGTACAGATTTTAACCCACAATTATTCAGGTCTGTCTATTGTCCTACAGCATCCATGTACATTCATTGATATGTGATGTATAGTACCTGAGATATCAGTGTGAAAGTTGGTTAATTAGACAAACTAGGTGATTAATATGCACAAATATTTACCGAAAATTAATTGGGTCTGCATAATTCTAGATTCATTGAAATGTGATGATTAGTACTTTAGATATCAGTAGAAAAGCTAAAATTAATTATGCAAATTAGGTAATTAATATGCACAATTATTTACCCTAAAACTAATCAGGTCTCTGCATAGTCCTAAAGGATCTATGTACCAAGTTTCATTGAAATGCAATGATTAGTACTTGAGATACCTGTGGAAAAGCTGAAAATTAACTAATTATGCAAATTAGGTGATTAATATGCACAAATATTTATCGAAAACAATCTCTGCATAGTCCTCGAGTATGTAAGTACCAAGTTTCATTGAAATGTAATGCTCACTAATATCAAATGCTGAAAATTAATTAATTATGCAAATTAGGTAATTAATATGTACTGATATTACCATAAAAACTATCAGGTCTGTGCAGTGTCATATGACATCTATGTACCAAGTTTCATTGAAATGTCATGATCAGTACTTATATCAAATGCTGAAAATTAATTAATATGTACTGATATTACCATAAAAACTATCAGGTCTGTGCAGTGTCATATGACATCTATGTACCAAGTTTCATTGAAATGTGATAATTAGTACTTGAGATATCAGTGGAAAAAATGAAAATTGACTAATCATTATGCAAATTAGGTAATTAGTATCTACGGATTATTACCAAAAACTAATCGAAACCTAGCATTAGTTCAGAGCATGTATGTACAAAGTTTCATCAAAATCCAATGAGTGGTTGTTTAGATATCAGTGGAACAATCATGGAACAGCTAAAAATCAGCTAATTATCATGCAAATTAGCTAATTAATATGCACAGATTTTTACCAAAAACTAAGTTTCATCAAAAACCGATGTATGGTTCTTGAGATAGCAGGAACAGTCGGACACACATACAGACACACTAACTGCAAAGACTCCCATTATGTGCTTCGCACATGGGAGTCAAAAAGGTGGCCAAGGGTGGGGCTCAAACCTTTTAACAGCTGAGCTATTGCTGATTTCGATGGAGGTTGTTGGCAAGCAGATGTATTAGAATGGTCTGCATTGAATTATCCATGAGAGACGACTCAGCGTACCATAGACTGGTTGTATTTATATGTGAAGTAACATCTGTTCAGCACTGTGCATAGAGATATGATTTACATAATATAAATCTAGATTTGGTCAATCTTGAAAATAAATCTTGGCTTTATATTTGTTATACAGTAATAGTTACTTTTCTCCAGAATGCCGCCCTTTAATTGAAATATTTCTTTTTTATCAATATGCAAGTTTTTCTGATAAAAAATTACTGGTACATGCTTGTGAACATACATGTATAAATAATTATGTTTTGTCGTTACAAACTAAAACAGATTTTTTTTGGAGTTAAAGTATGTTTGAAATCTTATTAAAGCTACAAAAAATGTGGATGCCATCAGGAATTAAATGTTATCCATCAGTAGCCACTGTGTATGGTCTTAACACTAAGTTAATTCAAACCGGCTAAAAATGTCTGAAGAACAGTTGATATGTTTATAAAGGTAGAAAGTGACTCTTGTATGAAAATACCAAGAATTTATTCATTTTTAAACGAATTGTACTCCCCGGGGAAATACATATCAACTTTAAAAATGTTGGGGTCACCAGCCTAATTTTTGAGAGAATGATTTTCAGTGGATAGTGACCATTTTGATAGTTTATAACCATTTTACCATATGTTCCAATGGCAGGGATATTATGCCATATGATGGGGTACTTTTGTTAAATTTCCTGGTTCAAAAAAAATGGAATTGTCACAATAACCATCACTGTAACACACACAACAAATGCTATTTTATTGTGTCACGAACAACAGCTCTGAGATAGTACACCGATAAATAATGACATACGATTTATCTCAGACTTCCTCAAAAAATTATGTATATTCAAATGCATGTGAATACGTGACAGATAAACAATGAATGTGACTCGTATATATAATGTAAACAACTCTAATTTTGTATGAATTTCATTGAATGAAAATTACTCTGGAGTCCTACAAAAGTTTGATAATCCTCAAATTATAAAAATTCCTAAATAAGCGTTTTCAGTATACATTGCTATGCAAAGTACAGAATCCTCATCAGATGTACATGGTGAAAGAAACTACTGCACTCTTACTTATTGGTCAGAATTTAGAAAACAAAATAACATGTAAATTTGAGCAAAACCTGTAAAGAAATTATAGACATAGTGATGTGCAGATAAACCCAAATTTATTTATCGGTATAATAATTATGGTCCCTGTGGCGGGACAAAACAGAATTTGTAACTCCATTCTTTCATGGATAGAGGTTACATTTGTTTTCAAACAAAAGTTGAAGTCACAGACATAAAGTACAATCCAAATGTGACAGTGTTAATTTGTCAAACAATGAAACACAACTAGTTGAACTACATACATGTATTGTAAAATGCATTAATTATTCAATACTTTTTAATCTTGCTGATAAGTAAAATTTGCTAAAATAAATTCACTTAAACATGTAAAATAACAATTAGAACTCATTGTTTTCCAGCAGAGTTTGTAAACTTAAAACCCTGTGAAATTGGTGAAAACATCAGAATAGTGAAATTAGATGCCAGTGAAAATAAATGATTTTACAGTACTTCTATATTAGTAACACTCAAATTCAGTCAACATCATCAAACCTATGTACGGTATCAACACTTGTTTCAGCTTCTGCCAGTCGTGACTCAGTTCCATCTAATTTTGCACTGCAATCTCCAGTGTCAGTTGAAGTACTGATATCAGTAGAATCTACTGCTATTGTGATAGAATCAATAATCTGATCATATAACTTCTCAGTATCAATATTATTTACACTCAGTGATTCGTTATCACTTGTAACACAGACAGGTTTATCCGTTTTCACTCTCATATTGGAATTCATACCATACTCTTCTGATAATCCTTCCCCGAGCTGCAACGTCTTGTCATCACATTCCGTAGATAGTTCAACGTTGATATCTTGACTGATAGACTCCACGTTAACAGGTTGTTCAGATTTGTGCATCTCCTTCTCACTAATATTATCATTTGGCTGCAATGGGGCATCTGTGGGCGAATATGTGGGAGAGGTGGGACAGTATGAAGGAGAGGCGGGTGAATATGAAGGAGAGGGGGGTGAATATGAAGGTGAGGTGGGCGAATATTTAGGAGAGGTGGCCGAATATTTAGGAGAGGTGGGCGAATAATTAGGCGAGGTGGGACAGTAGTATTCTGGTGACCATGAGCCATCCATGCAGTAATCCAGTGAAGCACTATTGTCTCCTAACTTTGTTGCATCAATGTCAATACTTTTAAAAGAGAAAGTTGAAGATTTCTCTTCAGATGGTAAACTCATACCACTGCTGCTGCTCCTGATATCACAGACTGTGGGTGTTGCTTCTTTTTTAACACGAGTTGGTGAATCTTCACATGATGGTGACATTTTCACTTCAGGCGCTTTCACATGACAAGCATCTTCCATTTGAGGTGAGAACTCTTTAGAGTTATTACTGCTACCAGACATGCACGATACCGGGGGATCTGTAGGAAAGCTGAAACTCCCGCTGCCACCACAAGAAAATAACTTATATTGCATCAAACCATCCCTATCATGTGGTTGATATGACAAGACATTAAAGGCAGATGTGAAACCCTTTGATGCTGGCGCTTTAGATGGGCTGTATTTAACTCTCGTGATTATACGTCTGACTGGTTTCTTCTTAATTCTACTGCAGAAGACGGGCACTTCACAAGAGTTAAACCTGACTGCATCATCCATGTTGACTTCATTGTTTGGTAATGAATCCTGTTTAGCTTCACTGATGAAGTTTGAAGAGCTTTCCTTTCTAGAGTCTACTGCAGTAAATGTAGAGAAAGCTGGTTTTGATGCATTATTTACAGTGTTCATAAATGAGACAGGTGACTTCAGACAGGGAGATACATCTGACATGGCTACTGAAGATGTCAATACTGTACTCTTGCTGGAATTTGACACACATTGAGATTCAGATTGTTTATTTCCAAATACGCCAAATATTGAATTCATCTTTTCTGGTTTATTACCATTCTTGTAGTTAGCAAATCTTATCTCCTGTAAAATTAAAAATATATGACATTTAGAAAAAAAATTGTGAAAATTGCTTAGTGATCTTTGCTAACAAGTGTGATACAGTGAGTTATACAGTCATAGTGCAAACACTGTGGTCAATAGAATGGTCATTCATTAGACCAGCCAGTGCTGTGGTCAATAGAATGGTCATTCATTAGACCAGTCAGTGCTGTGGTCAATAGAATGGTCATTCATTAGACCAGTCAGTACCGTGGTCAATAGAATTGTCATTCATTAAACCAGTCAGTGCCGTGGTCAGTAGAATGGTCATTCATTAGACCAGTCAGTGCCGTGGTCAATAGAATGGTCATTCATTAGACCAGTCAGTACCGTGGTCAATAGAATTGTCATTCATTAAACCAGTCAGTGCCGTGGTCAGTAGAATGGTCATTCATTAGACCAGTCAGTGCCGTGGTCAATAGAATGGTCATTCATTAGACCAGCCAGTGCTAAGGTCAAGAGAATGGTCACTCATTAGACCAGTCAGTGCTGTGGTCATTAGAATGGTCACTTGCTGGACCAGCCTGTGCTGTGGTCAATAGAATGGTCACTCAGACCAATCAGTGCTGTGGTCAATAGAATGATCACTCAGACCAGTCAGTGCTGTGGTCATTAGAATGGTCACTCGTTAGACCAGCCAGTGCTGAGGTCAATAGAATGGTCACTCATTAGACCTGCCAGTGCTGTGGTCAAGAGAATGGTCACTCATTAGACCTGCCAGTGCTGTGGTCAAGAGAATGGTTACTCATTAGACCAGTCAGTGCTGTGGTCAATAGAATGGTCACTTGCTGGACCAGCCAGTGCTGTGGTCATTAGAATGGTCACTTGCTGGACCAGCCAGTGCTGTGGTCAATAGAATGGTCACTCAGACCAATCAGTGCTGTGGTCAATAGAATGATCACTCAGACCAATCAGTGCTGTGGTCAATAGAATGATCACTCAGACCAGTCAGTGCTGTGGTCATTAGAATGGTCACTCGTTAGACCAGCCAGTGCTATGGTCAATAGAATGGTCACTCATTAGACCAGTCAGTGCTGTGGTCAATAGAATGGTCACTCATTAGACCAGTCAGTGCTGTGGTCAATAGAATGGTCACTCATTAGACCAGTCAGTGCGGTGGTCAATAGAATGGTCATTCATTAGACCAGCCAGTGCGGTGGTCATTAGAATGGTCACTCATTAGACCAGCCAGTGCGGTGGTCAATAGAATGGTCACTCATTAGACCAGCCAGTGCGGTGGTCAATAGAATGGTCACTCATTAGACCAGTCAGTGCGGTTGTCAATAGAACGGTCATTCATTAGACCAGCCAGTGCGATGGTCATTAGAATGGTCACTCATTAGACCAGCCAGTGCGGTGGTCATTAGAATGGTCACTCATTAGACCAGTCAGTGCGGTGGTCAATAGAATGGTCACTCATTAGACCAGTCAGTGCAGTGGTTTATAAAGCAACATTAACCCCTCTGTAGAATACAATACAATGTAAGAATCAAATGTAAATAGGGACTCGCGTGCAGGAAACACAAAGTATAATACAGTTTATACTTAACAAATGAACACTCAATACTACATTTAAAAGAGAAAGTGAGATAAAGAAAATTTCCTAAAGGTGAAAAGAAAGCTCTCAGACCCCATCCTTAATTTACTTTAAGCTTTTGAGTCTATTTGCATAGAGTGCTAGCAGCCATTGAACTGTACCAGCTTTCTGTTCATACCTTCAGGATTTACACTACACGCCAATCTCTAAGAATAAATAAAGAGCAGAAAACTATATTATGATGGAAACACAGACAGTTCTTAAAATATACTGTGGAATACTTTATTTTCGCTGGAATTAATTTTCGCTGAAAAGGTTTTTTGGGTGTTCTTTATGTAATTTATTTTCACTGACTTTTGATGAGTTGAATGTGAAATATAATAGGAAAAAAAAGTATATTCGCTGGATTTTATTTTCACGGAATCATCCCTTCAGGGAAAATAGCGAAAATAAATTCCAAGTGAAAATAAAGTATTCTACAGTAGTTGATAGGATTGAAGAGCTATTACTATTCACGACAACAGTACTGTTTATTGTGGAAACTGACATACACTTAAAAAGTTACACATTCTATATGACAGGACACAACCATATTTGCCCAGATAGTCATAAAAGCTAAGTAACAAAGGTAACATGGAAAACCAGTGTGACGAAGACAATGGCAGGGTAATATGAACTTACTTCTATACTTTTATCAAGGGACATACATTGAATACCACTGGTGACAGGTTTGAATGCAGATGGGGTTAGTACATCTAGGGACTGAAATCAATACATATACCATGATTTGAATATTAGTATGACTATTAGTCACATATATCATTAGTAGGGAAATGAGATGCAAATCAGTAGAGTCGTATATACCTGGTATTATGAAATTAATTGATTTCAATGTATGTATGAGGCATGTGATTTCAATTGTATCTGTTGTAAATGAATCTCTTATGAACATTTTGATTGCATTCACCTCACCAACAGTGTAAATTCTAGAACTCCTTAACTTACTGGTTTATAGAACACAGCAAATATAGCCACCTAGAAAACAATAATTTACCAGTTTTTAGAACAGCAAATATGGCCATCTAGAAAACAGTAACTTACCGGTTTATAGGACACAGCAAATATAGCCCTTCTAGAAAACAATAACTTACCGGTATATCTTTTACTTTATCATTTGAATCGCTAATCTGCATAGGTGTGTTTACTGTAGTATTAAACAAGTCTGCAACTTTTCTGTTTTCCTTGTAATCTTCTAGCCTCAACTCCTACATGTGAAATGGATTACAAATTTACTGGTAGTGTATAATAGAGTGTATCTAGAAATATCAAACTGTGTGTGTGATGAAAAACAATTCGTAATTTATAACATGCTTACCTCAAAACTAAGATGTTGATATTGTTCCATTGCCGAGATACACTGATGCTGCGTTTTTATATTCACTGAATAAATATCATCATTAGACTGTGGAGCCTACAAACATAAACAATATACCATCAATGCAGTTACCTAAAACATTGGCATTTGTTCCCAAGATGGAAATACCGTATTTGCTCTAATTTAGATGCACAGCTCCAATAGAAAAGCATTTAAACTAAAAATCACAAGTTCTCTATGATGTGGACCGATATTAAAGACACCGCATTGTATAGGGACATACATCAAAGATGAAAAATTATCCAGAAATGGCTAAAAAAAAAAAAAAAAAAAAGGATATGAATCCACAGATTAAAGGTTCTGAATTTCCACGTCTATCCTCAATGAATTGCTGCCACATTACACAACTCCTTGACCTATATCATAATCTATCAACAGGTACTAGATTCGATAATTTAAGGTAGGAGCCTACTCCTAATTTGTGAGAAAGTTGGTCATATATGGCATAACAATGTTCATTGGTTTATTATATACAATCATAGAAATATTATCCCATGGCAATATCAATTAGCATTCATTCATGTGTTACAGTGCCGTTTTTTTCAAAAATTGCTATTTTTAGAACAAATCCATCGAACACAAAAGAAAAATGCATTTTTGACACTTTTTAAAACCCAGATTTTTAAAATAATTTTGTACAACAAAAAGTACCCCATCAGTCACAAAATATGGCTTTTTCAGCTCACATCACCAGCCTACAATTTAAGATATGGCATAATATCTCTGCGATAGAAACCTATGATAAAAGCATTATAAATACTGACAAAATGGCCACTATCCACTAAATTAACAATCATTTTCTCAAAATATAGGCTGGTGATCCCCAATATCCTTAAATTGCCCATGAGTAAATTGTGGGTATTATCATTTTTGAGTAGTCTTCTACCTGAAGACAAAGACTTACGTTAAATTTGACTTGTGGACTTTTAAATGGCTGGTATGGTACTTTAAATGAAAATGATGACCATGCAGGTTGTATTAATTTAGAACTCATAGTTTTAATACTTATGTCTGGCGATGTTTTTGTACTGACTGTCTGCGACATACCACCGGTTTTACGAGCCGATTTAAATCGTTGCACTGATGGAGCCGAAGAGGTAACAGTTGAGTTAAAAATAAATGGTTTGCTCTCCGAATTTGTTTCTGAAAAAAAAAAGAACAGACACTTTCAATACACTGAGAAGCCATCTGGTTTCATTGAAAGACTTGTGTACATCAATGATATAGACAATTTTAATTCAATGAGAAGCCATCTGGTTTCATTGAAAGACTTGTGTACATCAATGATATAGACAATTTTAATTCAATGAGAAGCCATCTGGTTTCTTTCAATGGCTTGATGTGAACCAATGAAATGGACAATTTTAATTAATACACTTACAAGCCACCTGGTTTCATTCGATGATTTAATGTTAGCCAATCAAAGAATCCATATGGTTTCATTCAATGAAATGATGTGATTCAATGACATGAACAATCTTAACAACGAGAATCCATTTAGTTTCATTCAATGACTAGGGTGTATATTAATTTACTATTACGCCATGTTTCAATCTTCTAAGATCCTAAACTAATGAATTGGATGTCTACCAAGTTCACTGTAAATAGCCACAACTTGTGCTGTCACGTTCACATTGTGCTAACGACAGCAGATTGTTTTCATGTGCAATCACATGGCTTGTAAATAGAGAATAATGATAGGCAGTAATATTTATACAAACCTGATTCAGTATTGATT